AATTTTTAATTTGTCAAAATTTTCGATTGTCAATCGTCGTTCTTCTTTAGCAGCATCGAGACACTTCTCCTGGGCCATGCATTCAACACCTTTAATTACCTCACTTTCATGGGTTTTAAAACTCTTCCAATTTACTTGTGGGATATCCATAGCTGTCAAGACTTTATTTATATGCGTGTTTCCAACTCCACTGTTCATAGAGCCTAAAATTCATACAACAATAATTTAGATGTTATAAATTTTGATTAAATTAATTCTTATACTTGTTTAAGACTTAGAACATTATTTTAATTTAATCTTTTTTAATGACACTTACCTATTATGAGCTGAGTATTCGAATCATAATGACTATTTCCATTTGACACTCGATGTTGAATGTCAGTAGATGCACCAGTTATTTTATCGCACTTTCTGCATTTTAGGTATAGAATTGATGCTAATCCAATACGCTTCTCACTTACTAAATCCGCCAGTGATAATAAAAAATCACAATGACTACAAAACATATTTTTACCTAACGTTTTTAAGTGAACTATTCTACGACCATAATCATCGTCTGATTTCTCTTCAGTATTTATGTTTATTTCATCTACGTTGACAGTAGGGTTAGGTGACATAAACTTTCCATGTTTTTCTTTTAAATTTTTAGCCAATGCCACCTGTTTTAGATTTTTTTCATACTTTTTTTCAGTCACTCTTTTACCTTTCCAATGGAAAACTTTTTTGGTGTGATTTAATGAATTTTTATCAGACATTGTAATAAAAAGATATGGATAAACTAAGTTTTGGTAAAAATAAATAAATGTTTGCGCAATAGACTTTTGCGCATCTTATATTCAAAGTGAAACAGAAAATATACTTCTGTCTCTTTTTCTTTTACGCGGCGTTGTCAAGTCAAATTACTGCGCAAGTCAAACTACACATAGCACTAATTTGACACCTGTGGTAACGGTAGTAGTACTACCTTAATAGTATCTTGACAAACATTAAAACACCGTTCACATTGTTCAGCACTCACTTAGTTAGATTTTAAATTATTATAAGATTCAGACACTGTATCCACCAAGCTGTGAATAGCTTCTATTATTTGTTGAGACATATTCGCAAAAAATAATTTGCAAAAAAAAAATTCGCAAAAACAACTTAATGCTAGTATAAATCACTAACAATTGTTAATAATTTGCAAAAAAAATTCACAAAATTAATTTAATGCTTTATAAATCACTAATTGTTGTTAAATCAGATTTTTTAAATCATATGATATGCAAAGTGTGAGATTCAAACTCCTTCTGTAAGTCAAGGAAGTAATCTCAGAATATTTATATAAAAAAATTATGCATCCAAGAAATACATATATATTCATACATGTATATGTGAGTCAAATAATAGTAAGACCACCTATGAATAATAAGAAACGTTACAGTACACGTGATGACAGATTTACAATGTCTAAAATTTTTCTTATGCTCTAAGTATCGAGTGTCAATGATTCATTATGACCGTTGGTACCGCGTAATCATTTTAAAATAAACAGATGCTGAAATATAAGAATCTATACGATTGATAAAATAATTTCTTCAATCAAACCGAGATTTGCAGTTCTAAGAATGCTAATAAAATTTTTGTAAGAAAAAAGTCATTTAACAATAACACTGTAGATAAAAAATAACCGTTGGTTAGCTATTTTTTTAAACTATTAAACGATCATGATTATTGTAAATTCAATTTTAACTAATTAATCTTATGTTTGTGTAGCAATAATAATAAACGGAAATAATAATAGGGATGAAATAAATAAAAATTTATTATTATTTAATTTATTATCACAAAAATATGTCGAATAGTGCTTTCGACAGTCGGAGTGATTTCTAAAAAAAAAAAAATTTTTTTTATGATTAAAAAAAACAAAAGTTTGTTCAGATCTTAGTTAAATAATTTGTTTTTTAAAAAATATTTTTTTCTTCAAGTTTTTATGTGTATAGAACTATAATACATAAGGCCCACTGTTTTACGTCTGACCGATCGTAAAAATTTTTCATCTCACTCGAGTTTCCCTGTAAAAATTTTTCATCTCGCTCGAGTTTCTCTGTAATATAGACATGTGTTGAAAAACTGAAATTTAATAGATCATATTTTTCATTCTACTAAAGACGTTTCAACGGAGCTGTTGTAAGTTTTAGTGAGTTTTAGTGAGTTTTTTTGTGAATTTTTTTGTGTTAACGTTAAAATACACTGAAGAAAAAAATGTATTTAACAATAATCGCAATAATTGAAATACTCAAAGAAGATTTAATTCGTGAATTGCGAGTTCGGAATGAAATAAAAAAATACCTAAAAAAAAA